CCCTCTGTGAAAACGCCGACTCCTGAACCTGCAGAGCTCGAGACCAGGAAGGTGAGAACCAACATGGAGGAAAAATCCCATTATGCTCTGGTCTCGCAATTAACTTAAAATGCCATAATCTCTCATATCTACGCAGCTATGTGAAATAAAATAATGTTATACAAGGTCATCAGATGGTGCAGGTGAATCAGACGTCTGTGTTTTAATCAACCTGAAGAATAGAGGAGAGAAAGTGTACTATACTGTTTTCAGGTTTCATTTTCAGCTCTTAACTTCTAAGCCACAATAAGCTTTCTGCCTTCCTCTTTCATTTGCATGTGATTATGTATCAGACATTCTGTATATTGAGATGTTCCCCTCTTGCTTCACAGGTCCTTCAGATGCAGTGTAACATTGAGCCTGTTGATGAGGGCACCAAGCATCATGTGAGTTTCACTTCCGTCTATCTGATAAGAGATGAGGCCTTTCTCAAACCGGTTCCTCCACACTCACACTCGGTCACAGAGTGAACTCTGTCAGACATCTGAGTGAAGTTAACCCTTTGTTAAGATGGAGAGTATAAATACAGCAGCAAGCTTTGGGACGAACTCCCCTCACTCCCACGGATAAAGTCCATATATTGTAAACATTGAACCTCCCACAGTTAAACACATGCACTATTTTCAAGTTTACATCATATCCAAGAGTATGTCCTGGATATAATGCTTTTCATTTTTAAATCTGTATGATACTGCTGTGATAACAGTGAACACTGTATGTACTGAGTCACCTCTCTGTCTTCTGCTGCTGCTAGGGATGTAACGATTCACTCAACTCACGATACGAGTCACGATTTATTTAACAAAATGAGACTGTAGACAAATAGTGACAGAAAAATGTTCCTTTAGAGGCTGCATACCAACTTCAGTGTGTTTTGGCCCTTTAATGCTTTTTTTTCTCACAACAAGGGGAGGTGATTGGAGCTTCTCATCGTGGTGTGGATTAAATGCTTCATCATGTTGGTTGTGCTATTTGTCTAGTTCCCTGTCTTCTCGCAATATCCTCACACAGTTTTTGTCTCGTCTGTTATCTTCGCTGCAAACCGCCTCTGCTCTACAGCTGCTGGACGCTCACAGTTTTATTGTGATTCTTTTGATTTTACGATCAATCTTTACATCCCTAGCTGCTGCTGATCGTTTGTCCCATGGCAAACAATGAAAGGCACCACACGTGTTTTAGTAAGTCAGCTCCGGTGCTGAGAAATTCTGAAGACTCCCTCTGAGGTTTTTGGACGGCGCTCAATGTTGTGGACGTTCCATGTGAGCGTGCAAAAGAAGTGGAAGTGTGTAGGGAGAGTGTGCAGGGAGGGGTTTAAGAAAGGCCCGTAGTGCCTTTGTCTCTTCCTCTTGGTGTTGTGTCTGTCATATATGTTTTACTTGACTTTTAATAAGGTCTATCTTTTTGTCTTTCAGCTGACTCTGCTGCTGAAGCTTGAGGATAAACTAAACAGGCACCTAAGCTGTGATTTGTTACCGAGTGAGTATCTTCTTTTTTTTTTTCCTGATCATAGCTGAGTTGTTGTCAGTAATCTTCGACTATGACCCTCAGGGTTTATAATCTTTTAATATGGCATATTACAATCCTGTATTTGATGGTTAAAATGAGAGAAACTATCATGTAGAGAGAAGAGGAATAAAAGCTAAACGCAGATCGAGGGTTTTATGGTTCATGGTTACATTAAAACTTGAGGCCAACATGGCTCCCTCAGTTTTACTGACTGGCATCTTTAAAAACTTTAATAGTTGTTTGAGTAAAGAGTTTGCAGCCCGACATTAAAGGCTTTATATGCGTTATATATATATATTCATCCAGCAGATGTCGCCCTTGAGCACCAGCATGAAACCAAAACAACTCGCGGTGCATTGTTGTGTCAGCATGCTAATGCTAGCGATCTTTATTATGCTCGTATCTTCACACTGCATGTAAATTTAGAATTTTTGCGTGATCTAGAAACACAGTTAAGCAGTGAGTACAGTATGTTATTCTTCTTTTCTCTAGTCCCTCAATTAAACAACTTTTATTCGCGAGGGGAGGAGTCAGCCGGCCGTCTCGGCGATGTAAACAAACTGAAAATATGACATCACAGACAGTGGGACTCGGGTGTTACACTCATTGTAGACGGTCATGACTCACAGAGTTATTATCAGAGGATATACTTGATTTCTATTACATTTAAGTGTGAAAAATCACATATAAAGCCTTTAAGGTAAAAAAAACAGCATACACAAATGTTTCCAAAGTCATGAATAAGATACAGAAATCAAATCAATACAGTCATACTCACTGCAAAGAAAACATCAATGTGATTACACACACACACACACACACACACACACACACACACACACACACACACACACACACACACACACACACACACACACACACACACACACACACACACACACACACACACACACACACACACACACACACACACACACACACACACACACACACACACACACACACACACACACACACACACACACACACACACACACACATTTCTCCTCTTGAGAGAATAGATAGGTTTCAAGTATTTCTTTAAAAGTAGAGACAGTAGTGATGGACTTCAGGTCGGAATAAAGTTTGTTCCAGATAGAAAGGCCCCCTCTCCGGACTTTAATTTAATTTTGGGTACGGCTAAAAGACCTCGACTTGCTTTCATGTTCAAGCTGGTGTATTTAATGTGGATGCTGGAAAAGCACAACAGTTCACACAGTATGAGAAACTCCACAGTGCACCCCGTAATACCTTCAGTAACAAGAATGAATACTTTTACACATGGAGCCTGATACTTTGTGATACTTCAAGCAAACGTATCTTTACACATCATCAACCTGCCCCCTTGTTGTTTTTAACGGCAGATGAGAACGTGCATGAGCTGGCTGTGGAGCTCGTTCAGCTGGGCTTCATCAGTGAGGTAAGCACAGTTCTTCTTTGTAGCTTGATTACTTGTAGACGGGGGAACTCTTTTGAACCGGTCTCTCTTTTTCAGGGCGATCAGCCTCGGCTTGCGTCCGTTCTTGAAGAGGCCTTCTCAAAGTTCTACAGCCGGAACGGTTCTCTCAATCCGGTGACTGTTTCCTCATAGCAGAGGTCTTGCTCAGCCTTCTTTCAGCCCTCCTCGTCCTCGACATCAGGACTAGCTTTTTGCTCCACCTCTGAGTTGCAAGGGAAGCTTTGTGAGGACGGAGGAGGGAAGCCTTGGTCTGACTGCAGATCCTGCAGCCTGTCGTCGTATCTTCCGGTGGGAAAAGCCGCCACTAAGTGGTTGTCGCTTTCTAGCTTTTTTTTTTTTTTCTCTCCCTCCCACCCAATGCAGCCATCTGCTTCTCTTGTGAAAGAGGAAACCTAGTCGCAACTTACAGGAAAATGCAAGATGTTTTCACTTTTTGGCTTCTTTCTGTCATTTCAGAAACAGTGATGAAATGATGGAGGTAAGCCAAATGAAACTGGATAGCATTATGTTTTCCTTAAGTCAGTATTAAAACTGTATTTTAAACATTTTTACTTCAAACTGTTAAATAGTTGTCTGTATAAAAAAAGATCTTTTCCCGGCATACTGAAGTGTATGTGTTATGGTGTTGTAAGGTTAAGTCTGGTTGTCTGGTCCTTTTAAAACTTTTGTTCTTGAACAGCGAGTGAGGCATCTTCCTACCTTGAGACTCTCAAATTCATCCAGTGTGTAATGCAACAGATGTAATGTCACTTTTTACTTTTTGAATTCTGTAATTAAACAACATTCAGCTGCAACACAATCTGAGAAAGTACAGCTAAAATATATATAAAAAAAGTGAACTATTTATTTGTGTATCTTCTCTTGAGTGTGTACTGTACCTCACTTCCAGCACTAAAAGGCCAGTGGTTGTTTGAATGTTTGCTTTAGTTGCTCCTTTTGTTTTATTTTTGAAACCGAGCTATTGTTTTCTATAAAAAAGGGGGCGTCTTCACTCAATTGTGGTCCAACTAATACTGCACTTATTTTAAAGGCTTAACCAGTCCAACATGTGTCTTTATTTGGCGTTTAACACAGGGCAAGCTGAAGGTCAAAGGTGAAAATGATTTGAAGTTGAAGAACATGATCTGATAAACGTTTGTCAACAGGTTTGGTGAATGCATGCCTTTCTGTGTTTTAAGGGGAAAACGATGCACGCAAAAAGCCTGGTTCTGAACTCTGTTTGGTTTTGTTTGATGATGGTGACGAGGAATTTGTCATGCAGAGGATGTTTGGTCAGTTGAGGCCTGTCCACATTAAGAATACCAGGCTCAGACCAGAGCTAAAACTTGCTCTTCCACATAGTTATTCAGTTTGTTGCTTTGACCATCCTTCTGTGTTGACTTGTTTGGGAATCTCTTGGCTAGTTTGCACTGCTGTACACTTTTAAATGCTGTTTGAAATGTCCCGTGGCCTCTGGCTCCTTCACTCCCAACAGGAAACTCTTAGATGAATTGGAAATGGTGTCATAAATTGAGTCTGTGCTCCAGTGTTGTCCACTCTATGCTGTGACTATCTTCTGACAGGGTCTGTAGATACGGCGTGAATCAAGTGTGGGACTGCCTGGCATGCTTGTAACCATCTTGTACACTGTATGCTGGACACCGCTCTGTTTCAGCTTCTCATTTACCCCCTTTTTTCACTTCCTGAAATAAAAAAATACACTATCAGAATCTCAGGTCCATTTTTTTGTGTCTTATTGGGTTCTTATCATTAATGGCAGGTATGTCAGGAAATTACCAACAACAGTATGAACTTTCTTTTGGACTCAAATGGTTAAATTGAACACTATGATCTGAGAAAGGTAGCGAGACAAAACAAAAAGGAAATGGCTGATGAAATAAATGTAGAAAAAATGTGTTATCTGCAACAAAAAAAACTTTTGGAGTAGTTTTCTTTAAAGAATAGAATTGTTATTTTGGCTCTTCAGTTTAAAAAGTAAACAGATGTACACAAATGAGACCAATTTCAATTGTTAAAATTATTTATAGAAAAAAACCATCAGGAGCATGAACTCACTCAGAGCATCACTGTTTGAATTATTTGTTCCAAAATCCTAAGAAACTGTAGCCCTTGTACAAGTATCGTCATGTACATACTTAAGTGTCACGACGTGTGCTCAATGAACATTTCAATAAAACACATTTCATGCTGACAAACACGTCGCCGTACAAAATTACAGCAGTATAATAAAAGTACAGCAAGACTAAAAAATATTTTGGATATAAAACACCCTAGAAACACACTCTAAATAAAAATCTACCAACATGGCAACATCCAGTTCATGTGTGTTTTTCAGCTGTGAGGGCTTTTTCAATTCTGTACAATATGAGTTAAAAAGAGAAAAGAACTACAAAAACAGTACATAGCACTTCATTTCAAACACATTACTCTTTCACATTAAATTTGTGTTTTACTTCCCGATTTGAAAGTAATGTATATAGGCACAGTAATTATATTCATGAGCCAGTTTGGTCCTCGTCATTTCCTGTTGTAATCAACTCCACGTTAACTGACGGACTGAGTCGAACTCAAACAATCTGACGACCAATCAGTCTAGACTTTCTCTGATTCCCAGGAGAGCTGCCAAAAAATGTAACTGCTGCCTTTAACTGTCAGTTCATGTAAAGACACATAAACTGCATCCCCTCGACTTAAAAAAAGACACCCGTTAAATTGAAATCTTTGTTCTGTAAGACTCTTTAAAAAGATAAAAGTATCAATTTGGTGAACTCGTTACTTTCATATGAAATTCAGCACATTTCAAATCATCTAAAACTGCTATTTACAGGCACATACATTAGCACCTTGATGCATACATTCCTTACAATTTCAGATTATGACTTGCTGTTGGTTTATCATTGTATTGATGCTTTTAAGAGAATTGTACACAGAACATTTGTTTGTAGTCTAATAATTTGTAGTTTTATTTAAAAAAAAGGTCATCCATAATAGAAACTGACCAGATCTTGGACAGAAGTCTGCATAATCATCTCTCTATGAACATACAGACAGCTGATCTATGATGTATAATCTGAGGCTCTGACCAGAGAGAGACAAGCACAGGTATTAATAATCATAAAACCCACGATGGCTGAATCCCATTAAGCTGCTTCAGTTTCAGGGTCCTGGTTTTGTTTCCTACTATGTCAAGTCAAACAGTCTGCTGTTTAAAGGCTCATGAGATCCTTCATACTAATATAAACTCAAAGTCATTAGACTTCAAGCGACAGGATTTTCTGTATTTTAACAGCATCAGTTTGAATATTTCAGTAAAAATTCCTTCAGATCTGTGAAATCTTACACTTCTGTAAGTCTAAAACATTTGATGACATGAAATCATTTGTTATAGTGTCTTACAATGTTTCCTTTCAGCAACTCGTGAGAGGGTCAGTAAGGTAGCAAGAGGAGTCTTTTTGTTAAGTATGAATTGAAATATGAAAATGTCACACGAGTCGAAACAAATTCATTTATACTGATCTGAGATGTCCGACTATTGTTAGGAAAAGATGATGTCATAGTTTTGTCCTTTGCGTAGAAACGTCTGAACTACACTCCAGACTACATTTGAGACAAATCTCCAGGGTCTGAATTGAAGAGAGTTGTGCTTTTCTCGAAGCTGTAAGGACCCGTGTGTCTTATAAAATCGTGCCTAAAGCAGCTCTGCATATCTGATATCTTTTAGTTGAGTGAAACTCTTCACCCCTTGGTGTGAGAGGAGTCAAAAAAATATAAATTATAATGTCAAGTTAGCACCATCAGTGCAGCAAAAGGCATTTGGCTTGTGGAGGCTCATTCTGCCCCCCCCCCCCCCCCCCCCCCTCCTGTTGGAAGAAGATGACTTCATGTTGTCAGTTAGCTCTGTAATAAAATCCTCCCCCCTCAAGGAGGAGTCTGTCAAAGAGGTCTGAGGATCTGAACGGATACAATCCTTTCTCATTTCTTCAGGCACTGGTACATGAGTGCCCGTGGATTCAGCATGTAGCGCTCAGAGGTGAGTAACTTGGTGAGATACTGCGGCACCGGAGGTCGAGGAGCCATGTAGGACACGCCGGGACTGACGGCCATCACCTCTGCTATCTTCTGCTTCATCTCCCGGATCTCCCGGTCCTGCTTCATGACTTTATCTGCAGAAATCAAACAAACGCTTTTACCTGAGGGAACGGACACTACAAGATAAGCAATTCATAACAACACATTTAAAGTAGAAGGAAACTCTTGAGCTTCAGCCGCTCTCAGAGAAGGACGTACAAAAATGAATTCAGTGGATACCTTCTTCAAAGACAGGAACCAAAGAAGAAGAACCACTGAAGTACATGAATCACTCGAGGCAAATTTAATAAAAGTGCAAAGGACTAACGTCGCAACAAACTGTTTCTTCTTCAGAGTCAAAACGCAGTATCTCTCAAGCTGAAGTAAGATGTTCTGTGTACGACCTTCTAAAGGCTAAATTCCATTCATCATAGCATAATGTCAATCCACACTAACAAGACTCCCACAACCAGTTAGAATGAATGAAATAAAAAAATCCCTGTATATAAATTGGTCATCCAAATACATTGAGATGATTTCAGAGAATCTACAGATTTTTTACAAAAAAAAAGCTTTAAAAACAAAATGTATGCAGCTTAATCTTTCACATAATTTATAACAAAGCACTTATGAGGGAACGTTTCGTAGATTGCCTGGTGATGGTGTTTTATGGCCACATGGTGGTGCTGTTGGATTGAAATTTCAAACATAAACTCATCACTCGCTCCCTTGTTCATGCTCCACCTTCCCTCCCAATGCACTTCTACTTTGATGTAAATTTTGAGAAGTCTTATCACAGACAAATAAAATCAAAACAGCATTTCACTAGAGTAGGAAATCGAAATAGTTGAAAAAAACAAGCACTAAGAAATCACAAGAATCTTAAAAGTTAAGCCAAAAGGCGGGGGGGAGAACCTTGAGCGATTTCCAGCTGTCTGCGGGCGTCTCCCAGAGCGGAGAATAGGTCCAGCTTGATGCGAGTCTCAGCGCTCAGGTTGTACTCCAGATGTTGAGCTTTCTCTTGCATGGCTGACAGAGTGGACAGCAGCATGTCCGTCTCTTTCTCCACACAGCGGTACTTTCCCAAGGCCTGCAATCCAGAAAGAAAGAAAAAGGTGTGAAATGTGACTCAAGGTGTGTGGTGAGAGAAAAGGTGTTTTGGTTTCCTGAGTATTTTGACCTTTTTTTTTTTTTTTAAATTTCATTTTTTGCCTTCTAAAACGTCTGTTAAGGATCGTATACTTAAGGGAACCAAAGCACCAGAGGAAAAACAACGTGGACACACTGTTAATGAATTGATGGTGAAATTGCCAGCCATCTAAAAACACAAAGAAGCATCACATTATTACACAGTTCTGTTCTGTGTTTATATAAGCTTGAGGGAAGGACCGTTTCTTTTTTTTTTTTATAAAAGCAGTGCAATGTTTTTATTCAAGACCCGGCTTCAGCATGCGTCATGGAAAGTAAAGCACCAAAATGAAACTAAAAAAAACACAAAGTTCAAACAATGTGCACACCTGATGTCCAAACCACTACACATAACTACGTACTGATGAGATGACAAGAGTGCAAAAGTACGTCATGTATCCAAAGAAAAACTGAAAATGTACAAACACAAACATCCATCAACATAAAATCTCTGAACACTAAAAAAAACAACAACTACGTGACCAAACTGAGGACTCGACCACGTCACTCACAGACACTTCAACTCACAAGTTCATTCCCAAATAGTGTATAAAAAAAACCAACAAGATACCTCAACGTCACTCTCTAGATCTACCAATCGACTCTCTTTCACTTGATATTCCAGCTGTAGTTGTTTGTACTCTGTGTCTAGATCTTTTACTCTCTTTCTTAACATTTGGGTTTCACAGTGTTCCTGCCTGGTGTAGGAGACGGAGAAAATCACAGTTTTGAGTGGTGAGAAAAGAAGGGATCATCTGAAGGTGAGAACTCATTCACACAGAAAGAGACATGACATTTCATTTGGATTTTTACACTGTTTTGTTCTTCAAATGTTCAAATCTAAAATTCCAAAGTACAATAAATAAATAACTATGTTAAAAAAAAAAAAAAAAAAAAAAAGGTGTGCATTATGACCCTGTTGTTACAGTTGTCCGAGCGTAGCACAGAAGCATGAAACAACTAGCCTGGTGTTCTCCAAAGGGAACCATATCAGCCTGCTGAGGGCCAAAAAGCTCACTGACTAACTCTCAGTTTAAGTGAAATCATTTAAGTTAGCATACAAAAACTGACAAGTACAGTATGGTTTAAAGGGGTCACGTGCATAACTCCTCTAAAAAAACAGAATTTGTATTATTAGAGATCTTCAGAGGTGCTGTAGAGAGTTATTCTTAACCCAGCCAGGCTAGCTGTTTCCTATCTTTATGCTAAGCTAAGCTCATCGGTTTCTGGTTGCAGCTTCATACTATGACATCACAGGAGAGTTGCGTCTTTTGTCTTAATCTTAGCAAGAAAAATAAAGAAGCATGATTCAAACTATTCTTATATTGCAGCCTTTGAATCCACGGCAACATATTTATTCTACACAGCAGCAAACAAATACAGATCAGGCATGTCTATCCAGGCACAAAGCCCCCCTGAGTAACATTTACAGGTTTGTTCCGTCTGATCTTTTACCTGTTAGTTAGACTCCGCGCTGCGCTGGCTGCTTCCTCCAGTTTGTGAGCCTGAAGCTCAGCCAACTGTTTCTCCAGAGAGAGTCTGGCCTCCGTCTCTGCTCTGGTCTTCTTCTCCAGCATGGCACTGCTCTGTTTGTCCTTCTGCTTGGTTTTAGTCAAACACATAATCCTGAAGGAGGGGGAAAAAAAAAAAAGGGTTTAAATGTCTTGTTTAAAATAGGTGTGTCAGTGCGACATTCAAGTTGTGTTAGATTAAGATCAGAGCATGCAGAGGATGCTGAATGTCTGTCTCGTCTTCTTTGTAGCATGTCATATTAAAACTGTGCAGAACATGCTGAACTCAGAAAAAGGATTTTAAAGTTTTGGCTGATTGTTGTGGATTTCATGTGGTTGATTTGTTAGCTGTTTGACTGTGATTGGATGGAATAAATAAAAGGCACATTTCTTTGTCAACACGTTTTTTTTCAGTTGTCCCTGTTCCTTTTGGATCAAATACAATACACGGAGCAACACAAGAATAACCAGAAACACTCTGAATCATGGATTCATTATTAGTGTTGCTTTCATCTCGCCCGTTCTAGCCTCTGAAACATGGATTTTCATGATGTTCACATTCTTGTATTTTAACAGTAAATTGAATAAATGTGTTTTTGGAGTGTTGGTTGGACTAAAGAGACAATTTAAGACAATCTAATCCTTCCATTTCTGAATTCGCTGATGAGCGTCTTTATCACTTTTTTTTTTAACTGACCCAACATTTATGTAATCAATGCATTTAAGACAATAAACTTATCACAGAATAATCAACTACTAAAACATGTTTGTTTTCAGCCCTTATTTAAAGACCAAAAAAAACTGACTTGACAAAAAACGTCTGACATAATAACAACGAAGAACACACAGAGCAGGTGCTACAGTTATAATAACCTCAATCTTACGTATCTACTGAATATGAAGTGTTAAAAATTGCGAGACCCAAACTCCAATTCTCACAATGCTCTCACACTCATGAAGTGTCAGATGGTGTTACAGGAGTGCCAAACTATTAAAAATAGATTAATTAAATGAAAAAATATTTCTTATAATCCCCCGTTTAGTGACAAATTCAATTTTATTTGAGGAGACTTGAGTGCCTCAGTTCCTCAGAATAAAATATGATTTTATATGATATTAATTATATTGTGGCTTTAACGCTGATCTAATGGTCCGTCTGAGGAATACGGACCAGCTTGTCCTAATTCCTCTCTGTTTTTTTATTAATAGCCTGATGTTATGTGTTCATCAGCCCACAGGAGGAGCCAATGACTGACAATCAGCAATGGATTCGACTCACTTGCTCTGCAGCAGCATGTTGGACTGTCTGAGCAGAGACACCTCCGGCCTCAGGCTCCTCTCGCTGTTGGTCAGGTTGCAGATGTGACTTCGCAGCTCCTGCTCGCTCTGCCTGCTCGTCTGCAGCTCTCCCTTTAGCCTCCTCAGCTCCTGCTCCAGCCTAAAAGAGACCATATAGCAGCGTTAAGGAGGAATGAAAGAGATTTTTTTTTTTTAGCGCTCACTCTACCTTCAAAAGTGTTTTGAAAATGAAGTGGCATACTTGGTCATCTGATCAGCGTGGTGATTGTGAGCTGGAGTGGTGTTCTTGTCCATTAAGTCCCGGTTGGGGCTGATTGTTTTGGAGCTGTATCTCTGTTTCTTCTCCGTCCTCCCTGCAGGAGGTGAAGGAGTGTTTGTGGTGCCTCTGCGGGCTTTTGGCGAGAAACTTTTCGCTGCCGTTCGCGTGGCTTTGCTTCCTTGCTCTTCTTGAGGTAGATTTTCTGGAGTTGTGGAGGACTCTGGTCCTCCTGCTCCACCTTGGTGCAGATCCTTTGACTCGCCGGCTCTGACTGATGATGGCCGCCGGTTTGATTCTGCTGACTTTGCGTCCTGGGTTCCCCTTTCTGCTGCCCGCTCCTCGCTGCGGATCTGGAGGCAGTCAGTAATGTGACCGTCATCGTGGGACACTACAGCACCGTTTTGGCACAGATACTGAGTGTTCTCAGGCTTCGCCCTCCATTTTGAGCCTGCAAAGAACAATTAGGTCTTTACACTTGTCAATTATGACCTCTATGTGGTGTCTTCTGTATAAACAACAGTTTACGAAGATGTTGCATTTATATATCATTCCAACTTGCTGCAGTCATGATTCTTTCTTTTAAACAAATAAATGTTGTGTTCCACAACCATAATTGTTGTTCCTTAGAATCAGTTTTCTGATGATTTCTTCACACGTTCCATGTTGAATGAACATCATAATAGACGAGAAGCATCTTTTAGAAATCATCACATAAACAAATGAGTGCGTGGTGCAAACAGCCTGCTCATTCTCATAGCATTGGGCACACAACTTAAGTGAAAGACACAATAAATAAATAAAAACCACCCTGCAGACTTTAACAGGGGTTGATGAAACGATACATATGGAAGGTGTGGTTACTCACTGCTGCTGCCATCTGTGCCAGACTTGGGGTAAACCTGCAGGCCCGGAGGAAGAGAGTGCTGCAGGAGGTGCATGTGGAAGTCGTTCTCACTCTGCACAGCTTTCTGAATGCGCAGTTTGAAGATGTTTGTGAAATAGCAGGTGGCATAAAACCCCAGATACACTACAGGATACCCGATGCTGAATATAAGGAGAAGAGACAGAGTTGAATATGAGTGTCACATTAAACGACGTAATCATATTCATCTATATTATTTAAAGCCAGCCTTTTCATTGATTTTACACATTTTTAATGTTTCATTTAATACTTGATTGGTCATTAGCAAGAAGAATCAAGGTCGATTTTCTGCTAAAATATGTGATGCACAATCATCAGAGGATAACTAAAATGTTGATACCCGCTCCCTTTGTTTACTTTTAACAATGACAGGCTCAATACTGATCGTTCTGTTGCAGGCTGAAAGGGTGATTCACAAAAAAATCAAAGTACCAGTGCGCAGCAAAAAGATGAGATAGGTTGGCATGCGAGGTTTTAAGGTCTTTGAGTCGAAGTGAAGCCTCGGTGTACACGAGCAGAATCCACAGGGATGCGGTTGATATACAGATGCCTTTTTCTGCAGAAGCATACGGACATCAAACATCTCATTTTATAAAAAATACTACATGACAAAGAGTTTTGCTTACGTATGTTGGCAAAACAAAGTGAAACAAGTAATAACCCACATACCTGTGTGCCAAATGTAGTTGAATAATACGTAAGTGCTCGCCACAAAGAAAAGCCAATGCAAAGGAACAAAAATTAAACAAAAGATGTCCAGGGTGAAGGCGGCGCAAACAAAAACAACACAAATCACCTGCAAACAGAGAAGAACAGAAATTACAGTCCAAATGCATGGGCTCCAATAGCTTGCTTTTGTCATGGTCATCAGGTGAAATAAAATCAAGCTGTAGTGGTACTCACCAGTCCATGGCAGTGGAAAGTGGTGTAAACGCTGCCAAAGAAGAGCCAGCATGGCCATAGGTACTCCAGTCTGAATTCAAGGATGAAATCTGCCAGCAGTACCAACGTCCACATCATCATAAACTTCAGGATGGTGTAAGCACTGCAAACAGACAAATCATCATCATAATAATGATGATAAAACAGCAGCAGAGGGGGTGTGATCAGTTTGGATACTTCAGACACACATTTGTATTCTAGCCTTTGATTCTGGTAAAGAAAGACATTTCATTAAAAGGACACTGCTTAACCTATCATTAGAGCAGTGCTGCTTCTTAACAACAACAACAAAAACAACAACAACAGTCATTTTGAGTCGAGAACAAAGACTTCTCCCTCCTTGGTTTTATGTGCGACCACGAGACAAACAGGGGCTGTGGTTTGCTCCTTTGTTCTGCTCTTCCATAGGCTGCTACCACATCAGCCCCTCTTTGTTTGGTAACCATGGCAATATTTAATCCGGAGGAGAGAGCGAGCGCCACGGCATCCTGCTGCACATGGTTCAAAATTCCTGTTTGAAAATCAACTCCATCCAATTCAAATAACTTGGAATGAATTTGAATTGATCTTGACTCTCTATAAGAACAGATATCAAATATGTAAGAATGCATCTCTAGAAATAAGCAGTGAGGCATATAACGGACAACAGCCAATTAAAAACGACAAAAAAGGGTCCAATATATCTGTAATTGCACCAAATGAGTATACATTTTTATAACGTACATGGTTTTTATATTTGCAGAATATAATTTTCACAATCCAAAAGAAAGACCTGTGCAATTAATTGTCTAGCAATTGCATGACAATAAAAACAAGACATTGTTTTCTTTTAACAGATTGAATTTATCTAATTTTCTGTATTGCTCATTGAATGCATTTCTGTATTCATTTCTGTATTGAAACAAATCAATTCAAGTAGGCTAGTTTGTTTCTCCTCCAATCTTCTGTCGCACAGTACAAATAATTCATTTTATTTACAAAATATAAGCTGCTCTCTCTGATCCTCAATTGACAGATATTCAGTATGAGAAGCATAATGTAACTGATAATGGGGGTATTAAATAATGGGGGTGTTAAATTCGAGGATATGGATATTACGGCGGTGTGAAAAGCAGATGAAACATCCCGAGGAGAAGCAGGCCGATGTTAACTTGCTCAGCGACTGATTTCAGTCCTTCTGTAAACAATATCGGCTGAAGTAACTCACACTACATTTGTACACTTCTCTCTCCTGAAATTAGCCGTAAAGGAGCCGATTTAAGCGTTACACTGGTTTTGTATTTCACGTTGAGACATGGACAATGTGATGGTACGAGAGGCAGACAGGTGAGCAGGATGACGACGACTGGATGTTACACAAAGACGAGCACCACAACAAAAGCAGCCTCCAGCCAGGCCGGCGACAGCTACCTTTCAGACAGCCTCTCCGTTATTTTCATTTTTTTCATTTTCCGACCCCTGTTCGCGTCCACATAACGTTTCTTCATCTTATGGCTTCTCCTCCCTCCGTGCTGTTTCTTTTCTTTTCTTTTCTTTTCTTTTTTTTTTACACCGCAGTCGCAGTGTCAGCGAAGGTAAAAAAATAAAAATAATAATAATAGTAATAATTAGAAGCGGTCCCTCTTTGTGGAAAAGGATGTTCAGCTCAACCTGTGATGATGTCTGGGAATAAATGTAGGCTGCCGCGGTTCTGCGCATGCTCAGTATATGTTGTACCTACAAGTGTTCATCGCAGGAGGGGAGCAGATCAACACGCTATGCATTGTACATGTTGTACCAAATGTATTAAAAATATATCACGACAATTAGCCTTCATTAAAAAAAACAAAAAAAAAACACTTAGCTAGAAGTGGTCCTCCAATAATAACAACAACAACAACAAACAACAACAACAAAACCAACTTTTAAACATCCACAAGCACACTCATTAATTCCTTAGGTCTATTTAAAAACGCAACATCAGGACACACAATAACAGCTGCAACATCACTAGTTTACACTTTTAAACACAAACATTAGAAATTCTAACAAAGAGCTATTCAGTAAGATTTCAGCAACTTAGAAGAAAATTCAAACTAAAAATTAAAGAGATTAGGTTATTTATGTACTTTATTGTAGGCCTATATCCAACACTAATCTGTAAATACAATGTATTTTACATCGGCCTACACTCTTTTCAAATTACTGCTTTTAGTGCAGTCTTTTTCAATTACATTTTATTCTGACTATTTCCACGGTGTGTTAAGATTTTCTTGAAGACGTGTCTGGGCTTACGTACTTACAATGTACATATTTACCTTAATAATAAATATCAGAGTCACTTTAGTTGGCCAACAATGCATTTGACATATTTTCCTCCTTCGAAAAACTGACATACAGTACCGAAATCCATTTTCTGGGATAAAGGGAAACTGCTAAAAACAAGCAAGTAATAGTGAACAAGGATCGCTTATAATAAATAATAAACTTGACGCTCTGATATACACAAAAGACTGAGAAAAAGCAGATCTAAATGAAAATGTGATTAAGCCCTAACACATACAATTGATCATTCAAGTCAAGCTGTTGACTTGAAGTGACTTTCCACAACTTTTGAGAGTATGTAAAGTGAGAGTAGTGCAATAACATGCAGCTCATGGGTGCCTGAGGATTTCTTTGCGGACATAAATTAGAGAGGGTCAAGAATTCCTAAATCTGCCCAGAAGGCTAAAAACAACGAATAGAACTCTGGGAGAAATTGGCTCTCAAGAATAATCTGTTGTCAGACGGCCTAACGTGTGTTTCCATTGCTTTAAATGTATTTACACAGGATGAGAGACAACAGAAAACAACACGGGTAACAAAGCTGAACAAATAGAGGGCAGACATAATTATTGTGTACACAAAAGTGAGAAAAGAAAGGTGTATCCACAAATATAGCCTACTTTATAAGCACCAATGACATACAAGATAAAATATGTCATTGCGTAAGGTAAGTAATTGTGTGATTAGTAAATAATAAAATGAGTCTGGAAAATCAATGAACTGAACATTGGTATGTGAAGTTTACTTTTAAACCTATTTAAATGTATTTGAACAGTTTAGACAAAGGGAATGATTTAAATAAATGGAGGATACATATATCTACACGTAAAAAAATAGCAGTTACGCCTGAGTCAACACCAATGTGTACAGCATATAAAAGTAAAATTATAGCCCCTTTTACATTGCCAGTTTATGGCAGGACTTATAAAGGTCCACTATTTAAGTTACTGAATTGACGGTCAACAGTGCAGCAGCCACTTCCTTCTTGGTATTGATCCGGTGCAGAATGGTTTGTTTGTGTTTTGACCAGAGAAGGGATGCGGTTTTACAGCTACCCCGACACTGCTTTTTTGCCCTTCGGTTTGCCAGGCAAACGGTATACCATCAGGTGTCGCATCAATGGAAGCTGGCAAGTGAACTAGTTCAGATATGACTGATTCTACCCGACCTAAAAAGCCTCTGAATTTTTCTAATAAGCTCCACGACCAGAAACGTGGTAAAACCAGGATAAATATTGGAGAATATAAGATAAATAAGGTGAAGTGAAGCTTCAGTGTCTGCCACATGACAACCTGTGTGAATAACGACACTATAGGGTAGTAACAGAGGTGTAAGAGGGACCAAGTGGCGTCACAGCGAAACGTCAAGAGTTGGCAGGGCGGAGAATGCTGAGTGTCAGGGTATGTGTTGAGCCTCTTGCACCTCCACAGCCATGTGATGTAACGTTTAATTACACACTGGGAGACCTATATTACACCTTGGCGGATTCAAAGGAAAAAGTAGTGACGGGGGAGCTCGATCATGGCACTGCTGCAGACTTGCAATGAAACCCATTAAATACAGGATGTTTTCTTGACACTAACATTTAAGTGGCTCCAAGTTACCTCTATAGGTCTCGTCATCATTGTGTGTCTTTGTCATCTGCAAACATAATATAATCAGATACATATTGGTGGAGGAGTTGTGCGTGATGTCGGTAAAGTGGGCTGAGAACACATTGCAGTACCATATTTGGTATTAACTTCAGAAGTATTGAATCAAAAACAGACTTTTAGATTAATTAAGTAGAGACAAAAAGGTAAAAAAAAATTGGGAATTGAATAAACGCAAGCAAGAATTAAAAAAATATAATTTTTTATAACCATAAAATATAATATATAAAATAACCAGATATAAAAATAAACAATAAATAGACAATAAACAAATATTGTCACAACATTTGGAGTGAAGATATTGCCACTGGTGACCATTTTTATAGACAAACTGACACAGAAACAGGAGCAGACTGGAACTCATAAACAGAATTCTCACCTAGGTGTTTTTTGTAATCCAGGTTTGACAGGGCTGGGTGAAACAGGAGACATGAAGCTCAGCGTAATTTAAAGTAGAAAGACCATTCCATTTTTTAATTCATTAATTCGTCATTCCTTCATATTGCTCCCTCTCTATCTCTTCCTGCTCCTGTGTTTCGGATGATAATGGGCGTGAACGCAAGTTCACACACACACACACATTCTTCATCTATGTAAAAAAAGAAGGAGACCATGAGTGGTTATTTTTTTTCCATCATGACTCAAAGCATTTCATACATTTGTTGCCAAATTCAAAGCGGTTCCCTTTTCTGTCATTGCAACCCTCCTCAGCCCCAGTCACCTCCAATCATCTCACTAGTCGTCCAGGTACAGCTCCTCATAAATCTTCTCCGCATCACACACTGCTTCCTTCTTTCACCACCACCAGTGTCTAGACTCCATCGAGGGAGTATCCTATCCTGCTCTGAAGACAGTACATGAAGACATCATGATGGGGTTTAATCGCTTAAGACATTTCTCATCCTTTCTAGTTTGAAAAACTAACTTGAAAAATGAAGTCTCCCCTGGTTAAATTAGTATTGTCTGTTGGAGAGAGCAGCATATCAAATCCTACCAATAGAGACATGATGTGATGTCACCTATGACTGGATTCTTAGGGCCCCTTATTGTGATTGGTGTAAAGTCTTGATGCTTGAAGGGTCAACGGCCTTGCACAGTCAGTGCAGTTCAATCAGGAGAGAGAAGTAAACTAATCCAAGCTCAATATTTATTTTACATAGATGATGTGGAAATGAATTAAAGGATTGAAGGATATCTGTCACGCGGTGAAGTAGGTGTTGGCAGTTAGCGTAGTCTGAGGCTGTTAAAGATGATGAAACTGTGGGACTGGTGAAGTCTGTTGGGTGGTGATGGGGAGGTGTAGGGTTGCATTTAACAATTTCATGAATGAACTGGGAGGAGGGAAAGATATATTCAAAAAGACAGCAGCAATATACTAGGCCTACAATGAGGGAGAGGAGCAGTGAAATTGGATAGATAGTAACCAGGTGATCAGATCATCTGATGACTATGGGAAAATATGAGCATGGGTACTGTGCAACATAGAATGGGAATGAAAAATTAACCAGCAAGCATTATACACTGAATTTAGCTTACAAAATGACAGCGGACCCCCTTTGTTTGGAGTTTGAACTCTTGACAACTGGGTGCAGGTACAGAATGCCCAGGATGAGGACTAAAAGAGGCATTACATCCTTTGTACCACGCAGTCTTCAGCTGCTTAATAAGCTCTGATCATACAGTATGAACTTGGCACTCTGCACTTTATTTAACTTGCTACTAAAATCCCTCATTTAATCATGTAATGCTTTAATGATGTATTTTAATTAGATTTTAAAATGGTTTTGTTTTTGTGCTGTGCTTGATATGTTTGTTGGTATTGTGTTTTTATGCTCTCAGTGCAAGGCAAATTCCGAGTGGCAGTAAAGGTTTCATTCATTTCAGAGTTTCATTAAGTCAGTACACAAAGCTTACTACACTTTTAGGGACATTTTTAGATCACTCATAGTGTAGACAGAGAAATACCTGATGGTTTTGGAGGGCATCTTCCTGATGTGGATCCAGCAGTGCACAGAAGTTATTAAGTGCTTCCAAGGAGAGATCTGTCACTGTCACAGACATTTGGCACAGACTCATAGTCACTGATGGCTGCAGGCCCACACACACACCGCCCGCATGAGTCAACAATAAGTTTTAGGATCATATGTGTGCTTTGTTATAAAGATAGCATGGTAAAGGTTAGCCCTGCATATCTGAGGTCTCTTTTTCTGCAAACATGAAACAGATAGCTAAACATGTGTACTGAGAAGCTGTCATAACCTGTCATGATAGCAAATTAAGTAATGATAGTGTCTTGTGAGTCTTGTGGGTCGGTAGTTTTCAGTCGGTCGCACATATGTGCCTGGCACATTTTCCTTTTCTGTAAGGTCCACAAAGTACTTTTCAAATATGTTAGTTATGTTCCATCTCTTTGTTCAGTTACATTATTTACTGTTTGGGGTTCAAACTCTACTAATTTTCTTTAAATAAATCTGATTGGTTGAAAGATATTGGACATTTAGTTTGAGATTTGTCATTAGGAGTTGATGTTTCCTGAGCCTAGACCAGTTGAAAATCACTGATTTGGAGTAAATGTAGGTTGTGCTACAGAAAGGAACAAAGAGGAATGAAAGTTTGTCTTGAATGAAAGTGGTCAGACTGGTACTTGTGCCAGTAAAGTGAGTTATGTCATCACCTGATTAACAAGGTATAGCATGTGACATACA